GACATTCAGATTTGATTGATTCCTCTTCATTTCCTTTCATCTGTTGTGTAAAAGTGTTGATTATGGCTGTCTTTTTTTGTTTGGAATTTCGACAAAATGGGGTTGCAGTAGCTGAGCCCATTTCTGAATATTTATTATGCTATTGAAATGGAAATTACAGTTTTTTGCTTCTTTATTTTAAGGTTGTAGATGGAGGCGCTTTACAGAAAGCTCTATGAAAAATACACAAGACTCGAGGTCTTCATTTATATTCCTTTTGATAATTACTTATAATAGTTGAGTTGAGAGGGCTTACCATTTCTTTCTTCTCTTTAATCCTATGCAGAATGATAAAGAATCTCAGTTTGACAAGCTGAACCATGATCAAGAAGTGAAGTTCTTGAGTTTTGAAGCTGGTATCATATTACAAATGAATCGAGTAGCATTTGTAGCCATTACTTCTTGTAGCCTTCTGATTACATCTCACTGTTGTTTGTCTTCTAGCACGTCTCAGTTTTGTGATACAACTTTTGTGGTTGTGTATGGTTTTTTCATATAATATTACTTGATTGTTACTACTGTTCTTTGATGTGTAAATAGTCTTGCAACCTACGCTGGGTTTTTGTTATTCCGTTTTCCTAATTTATTTGGACAAAAACATTTGCGCACACAAATTTGGAACTCATTCTTTTCCATGGCGTAGATTGTTTTCTTCGAGTTCATCAGTAAATGCTCTTAAATCTTTTGATACAGCTGCTGATGAAATGATACAGTACTTGAAAAGTGAGAATGACAAGCTGAATGGACAAGTTGACCAATTGAAAAGTGATGTGGCTTCAATCAGGCATGACTATCCAAGACAATCATGAAATGTATTTTGATTATATTTCCATTAGTATTTTCTAAGATGAAAAATATAAATATTGTTTTGGTTCAGAACTTCAAGCGAGGAAAAACATAGCCAGGACCAGAAGCTTTTGATTGAACAGAACCAGAAGAGTAAGGAAGTAATCTTGTACAATTCATAGCCTGTGACAGAACCTGAATATATTGTTTTGCACATTGTGTTTTAACTATTGTAGAGCACTCTTTCTCCCTGACATTCTTTCGGTACTCCCTATACTTGGACTCCCTTGAGAATTTTGTGAAAGTTTTAACTCGTTCGATTCCTGATGTTGCAGTAAAGGAACTCTCCGAAGAAATTGCAAGCCTTCAAAAGCTTGAACATACTCAATGCTCCCAATGTACCATCCCTGAAGAAATTGGACATGGGCAGGAGGCTTTACATTATGACTCTCCATCTGAAGGAATGAGCCGTAATTCAGATAGAAACCTATTGAAAAAACGTAAGTCTGTGCTTGCTTGTGGAGTTACCGCCAGTCCTCCAGTCACTATGAAGTTTGACCATATGGAAGATCAACATGTGCTTGGGAAAGTCGATAACCCTCCAATCCCCCTGCATTTATCTAAGGTATTTAAGTCGTGTACTCAATAGATGAAATGTGCTTTTACATTTTCTGGCCTGACTTCTGAATTTTGATTAATTTTGTTTCAGCCTATCTGTTGTGGAGAAAAGATTTTAAGCAAACGTATGTCTGAGAACTAAATATATTGTTTACTTCACCCGTTCACAGTGTAACATGCCGTGAGCCTGACTTGTTTTTTATGATAGATGGTGATGCTACAGACACTAGCTCGGTTAACTGCCTGTATTGGAATCTTGTAGAGTTTGTGATTGGCATGAAAGTCTCCCCTATTACTCAAAGTAGTGATGAACTGTCTGTGTTGGCCCGTCATCCATCCACTGGTAAACTTTCATTTGAAATTTCCAATTTTGTGAGATTAGATTGGGTAAATGGTTTGGAATGTAATTATCATCTCTTGTGTATGGTTAATATAGTTTCTCTGGACAATTATACGCGTCTTTCCACCTGGATGTCTTTGACCTCTAATCTGTTTTTTTTTTT